GGTGGGAGCATGGTTGGTCGAGCCAACGGCACCCCCAAGCCTGCGATCCAGTGGCTGGTGAACGGCGAGCCCATAGAAGGTGAGCAAGGAAGAACCTGTACCTCCTTTACAAAAAAACCTAGCCAAGGATGTCGTGGCTGGCCCTGGGAGCCAGAGGTGCTGGTGGGGCGCCGGGCACCCCGCTGAGCGGTGCGTGTGCGTGTGCTCCGGCATCACAGCACGTAAACCACCCGCTTGTCTGAGACAAGGCCAGCGGAGCCGTGTCTTTGTAGGCTGGGGAGGTCAGGTACCATCGTCTGGTTTCATCTGGGCTGAAACGGAAAGATATGTGATGATACTGAGTGTCTTGTGAATTTTAATTTAAAATTTAATTTAAAGAGTGCTCTCTGCTTTGAAGCTTCTCCCCCCAACCCGAGCCGAGAGGTGGCTGGAGACACCATTGTATTTCGAGATACCCAGATCGGCAGCAGCGCTGTGTACCAATGCAACGTGTCCAACGAGCACGGCTACCTTCTCGCCAACGCCTTTGTCAGCGTCCTGGGTAAGTACTTATGGGAGGTGAACACCCCTATACTCACGTTTTCCCTGTGGAAGTTCTCCATTTGCTTTCCTCTTTGTTGTTAGCTACTCTGACACTGATGTACCTTTGTACATGACCTCTGCAGCCGGGCTTTGAAGCAGAAGGCCATTGCCATGGACCTGCAAAGCCAGGCAAGGCTGAGCGAGCCCCGTTGGCACTAAGATGTAAGCTGATTCATGTAGCGAGGCTAGAAAGGGCAGGAGAGATGAGAGGAGCTCTACTGAGTCTTGAAAGTGCCAACAAGGAAGAGCGAACAAAAGAGAAGGGAGAGTGGAGCATGAGACTGGAAGGGAGCAGCGGTCTGGAGACTGGTTTCTATTCTTAATGGCTGTGCTTTTTGCTGTTTGCAGATGTGCCTCCACGGATACTGGCCCCTCGCAATCAGCTCATCAAGGTGATTCAAAACAACAGGACGCGGCTTGACTGCCCCTTCTTTGGCTCGCCGATCCCCACCCTGAGATGGTAAGAGCTGCAGCGCATCCCCTGCCATTCTGGAGGGGTGGGAAGGGGAGGTGTCCTGCTCTTTCTTCCCTTACAATAGCGCTTTGTGGTGTTGTGAGGTTTAAGAACGGCCAGGGGAACACACTGGACGGAGGAAACTACAAGGCACATGAGAACGGGAGCTTGGAGATGAACATGGCTCGGAAGGAGGACCAGGGCATCTACACTTGTGTTGCTACCAACATCCTGGGTAAAGTGGAGGCGCAGGTTCGCCTGGAGGTCAAAGGTAGGGGCACAAAGGGCTCTTGGTCAAAACCGTCTCTTGGATCTTCTGAAACTTGCAGCAGAAATAATAATTTCGGTTAAGGGAGGGTTGGTTGTGTGCTCCAGCAGTTTGTCAGCAGGACAGGCACTACGTAATTTGGAGCTGGAATCCAGAGAAGGGCAGACATCCCCTTTTAATGTTGAGAAAAACCAAGTCTGTGGATATACTGAAGCTGTAGAAGGGCTTAGTGTGGATACTGAGGTGTGCGATGCCATAAGCATTGCAAAAGAAATACAAAACGTACATCAGCGTTAACTGATGGCAATAAAACTTTTTCTGAATCAAGTTTCCACCGGGGCTTTCCCTGTTCAGCAAAACTGAGTGCTGACTCAAAAAGCTGGGTATTTTTTAGAGGGTCAGCGTGAATTAATGGCTTGTTAAATTAATTTATTTGCAAGCATTTGTATCGGAGACAGTTCACTATAGCGACCTCGACAAACACTTGATGTGCACACTTGTCTTTTCCCAGTAACACCACTCTTCATTGAGTTCCTGAGCTGAGACCCAGCAGTTTGGTGTTTAACGCTTTCTTTCCGCCTTTGTGCAGACCCAACCCGCATTGTGAGAGGACCAGAAGATCAGGTGGTGAAGAGGGGCTCCATGCCTCGCCTCCACTGCCGCATAAAGCACGACCCTACGCTGAAGCTCACGGTCACCTGGCTGAAAGACGACGCGCCCCTCTACATTGGAAACAGGTCTGTCTTCAGCTCTGTCTTCTGAAACAGGTCTGTCTTCACGGCTCTCCTCTCCCAGGGCCATCGGACTTTTTTACAGAGCGTTTCAGGAGTCACCAGGGATAATAAGGACAAACATCCAGTTCCCATCTAGGCAACATTTGCTGTTCTTGATACTTTTAAAGTTACTAGCTCTTTCCAACAGACACTGCCTAGCAATTAAAACTGACTTATCAGTAAATCACGACTTTGATTACAGGTTTTATTTACAAATAGGTTTTATTACATTTAAGGACATCTTGATAAAACAGGCGGGTTAATAACAACAATGTTTATCTGCTGTGAGTGGTACAGTTATAATTTCCTTTCCATAGCCGTGTCCCTTCTCGTGAAGTGAGATCTGATCACGGGACAGGAGCCAGGCAGAGGTCAGACTGTTTTCCTAAAAGTGTGATTATTCCAGATATATGCCAGAGCACATTTGCTGCTTCCTTAGGAAATGAGGTTTCCAAGAATAACTCAACACATCCTTAGCTGATAAAAACTTCAGACCGGAGATGTACGCCTTGTTCTGTTTAGGCTTTTGTATGTATTTCATCAGAGAACCACTAGACCTCAGCCTTGCTGCCTCATGTCCTTAGGCACAGTTGTGTGATTATCGTTCTCATCCCTTTAAGGATGAAGAAAGAAGATGATGGTCTGACAATATATGGTGTGGCTGAAAAGGACCAAGGGGATTACACCTGCGTGGCTAGCACGGAGCTGGACAAGGACTCGGCTAAAGCGTACCTCACCGTACTTGGTAAAGCCATCCTCCCACCGTACTGACACAGAACTCGGTGCTTTGTTTTTAATACAACGGGCTGACTTCAAGATCAGGCTGAAAAGGGTGATCTGTGATCACAGAATCGTCCTCTGAAGCAGCGATGCTCAGGGAGACGCTGGCAGAGCAATTGTGCCGTTGCTGCAGGACTCGGCAAGGACGCGCTGCCTAGTCTCAGGCTCAGACAATGGCATTGAATTTGAGTCGAAGGAAACTTGCGTTGAGACAAAAAAAAAAAAAAAAAGAGTAGTTATTACATACAGCTAAAAATAGCCAAATGTGGCTGTTGAAGCTCTGCAAGAACAGTCCTAAATTTGTAAGTGAATTTAACCGAATGTCAGGCTGCTGAGCAGCACTGGAAACCCGGGGGCGAGGGAGCCGCTCCTCACCTCGCAGGTCCCCTTTGCACTATGGGGAGTGACAAACCTAAACCAGTTCCCCGCACCCATTTATGTACGCTGCAAGATCTACTCGCAAACCCCAGATGTATCGGTCCCTGCTCTTGGCCACCTCAGATCTCGCTGACGTGCTGCGTTCCCGGCAGTGCCCCAACCCATCAGCGCTGCTGCCATAGACCCGCAGTGCCCTACAGAAGTCAGGGCACAATGTTATTCTCGTACCCCTAATAATTTGGGCTTGATTTGTTTCCCTGCCTTTTCCCCTAATAGCTAATTAACTCTACAGCAGGCTGACGTTTCCCCTTTGCCGTGGCCCAGCAGTATGAATAAAGGTGTGCAGAGCGCGCCCGGGGGTCTCTGGGGGAAGGAGGTCCCCAGGCAGGATCGGATCCTTCCGAAATCCGTAACTGCGTGTGTAACTTTATATTTGCCAGGTGCTCCTTTGGCCACCCAAGCTTCATGACTAAACTAACACCGTTAACAACCAATGTCTTACCTTGCAGCTGTCCCTGCTAACCGTTTGAGAGAGTTACCTAAAGGTAATCATCACTAATTCATTGGGTTTATTTTATTTTGTAAATTGATTTTGTTTTGCCTTGCCAATAACACCAGCAGAAAATCTAGGTGTAGCGGTTGATAAAGCTGGGAGCTGATGCTTCCAAGTCCTGTCCATGTTGTCCTTGAAAACCCATCCAGATGGCCGCGGGTAGAAAAGTCCTGTGTCACACTGTTTCATGTCCCACAGTGCCAGAATGACCTTACCCATACCTGGAAATGGTGAGCCCTGATGGGAGGGAGGGGAAAAAAAAAAAATCACATTGAATCCCTTGACCTTTACCTGGAAAAAAGTTATTACTATTACTGTTATTGCACGAGCTGGTTCTGTGAGACCATGTGGGTTGTGACCCGATAAAGAAACCAGAATTGTGCCCAGAGCATTTCTAACAAGAAGGTATTTTCATTGAGGTTTTGTGTCATCTCTGTTCTATTTGTTTGCATCGATATTTTGGACAGCCGCGTGTCGTTTGCTGTAAGATCATGTATCCCCCCACTAAGCCACTATATTGTGCTTCCCCCACCAGATAACATCAGGTGTCCAGGGCGCAGGTAGGGTTTCAAGGCAGGGCACGATGAACACATTTGTATTTAAGAAATTGCACGGATCCACCAAGAGCTGCAGGATGTGAATCGTGCCGCAGAGCACGTGTCCTACCCCAGGTCTGGGCTAAGACGGCCAGGGCTTCCCCTCCTGGGAGAAGCGATGGGAACTGGCACTCCTGGGACGATCCCAGCCTAATTTGTCTCGTTACTCGGCCAACAGAACGACCCGACCGGCCCCGTGACTTGGAGCTAACAGACCTGGCCGAGAGGAGCGTGCGGCTGACGTGGATTCCCGGCGACGACAATAACAGTCCCATCACAGGTCAGCTGCCAGACCCTCTGCCCCGTATCCCTCCCGCTTTCTTCTGCACGGTGGAGGGAAAGCTTTCCTTGTGAGCTGAGTCCTTAACCCCACCTCTCCATCCTCTCCCCCAGACTACATCGTCCAGTTTGAGGAGGACCGGTTCCAACCTGGCATGTGGCATAACCACTCCAGGTACCCCGGGAGCATCAACTCGGCCGTCCTGAGCCTCTCTCCTTATGTCAACTACCAATTTCGGGTGATTGCGGTGAACGACGTGGGCAGCAGCCTGCCCAGCGTGCCCTCCGAACGATACCAGACCAACGGGGCACGTGAGTACCATCCACCCGGTCCCTCTTGCCGCAGTGACGTGACGTTGTAAGAACATCTGGCCACCACTCTCTGTGTAGACTCTTCCCTCGTGGTGTATGATCACAGCTCCTGTAACAGAAACAGATTTACACAGGTTGAGGGAATGATCTGGTCCATGCATATGCTGGGGTGTAATTTTATATATCACATCCTCAAGCTCATGACTGACATTCTGCAGAGCAGCGAAACTCAAACGGAAAGATTTACGCAAAGGTCACTCCAGCAGAGTGTGTTGAAGGAAAGCCCGGGTTCACCTTACAGAGAAGCTTTCTAAAGAAAGTCTTTCATCCTTTCTGACCACAGGAAGCTCAGAAGTCTCTTGGAAAATTAGACTCGAGTGTAATCTGGCCACAAGCAAAAGGCATTTTGTTCCAAAATTGCTAATTCGTTGTCCGCTGGTAGAGCTGGCCAGGAGCCCAGATTGATGTAGGAGTAAAGTGTGCTCCAGTCCACAACCAAGACTCGGGTCTTCAGTTTGCGTGCCCAGTGCTTTGTAGGCTGTAGAATACTTGGGAAAATTCATATGAGGAATTCACAAGAAGCTTACTGCTGCATTTCTTACTTTAACCATTGCAGAGATACTTCTGCAATATCTACTGGCATCTAGTGTTGGCTTTCGACATTACTCCTCTTGTTTCAGATTTCAAAAGTGTCAGACTCGGCTCCTGGGGTTGCTTCACAATGGCTGTCTTTCAAAGATTTAGGACATTTTGGAAAAGAAAAAAAAAAGAGGCTCCTAAATAAATGGCCTGGTTTTCAGGAGTGCTGAGAGTCTCATGTTCCATTAACCTGAATGGGAACTTCTGGAAAAATCAGGCCATTAACTTCTGTCTTAGAAGTAGTTTTGGCTTGCACTGTAAAGGGTTTTTAACCACTCAAATGGTCATTTTTCAACATTAGAAACTGTTTTTTGATTTTGGTTTTTTTTCTTCCCCCCCAATGTGGATTTCAGGTCCTGAAATTAACCCAACAGGAGTTCAAGGGGCAGGGACCCAAAAAAACAACATGGAGATAACCTGGACGGTGAGTTCTTCTTTGATGCTTGACAGCCACCCAGCGTCTTACTGTTATGGCCACAGATGCTAAGAGATAGAGAACATCAGCATGTGTGATGTACCACACAGAATACCATAACCTTAATAGTCATAAAGGAAATAAAAAGCAAAAGATGCATTTACAAAAGAGGCCATTGCTAGTGCCTAGAAGAAGGTTTGTGATAAAAACAGTAATTTGCAACAAAGTGAGCCAAAGAAAAGATGCTGGATCACAGACACAGGTTAGGGAGGATGCTCAGAGTCTGATTCCTGCAGCAGTATATAGGGCTTACGGAGCAGCTCTTGCTTTTCTCTGTAGACCAGCAGGTGTCATCCACAAATAAGCCAGCATCTGACAGGAGGACAGAAATCGCAGTGGGAGAACGGACTGGAATATAAGGATATGGTTCTTGGTCCTGCCTTGGGCAAGGACTAGGGACATCTCTCTGGGAACAAAAATATTGACCTCCTTTGAGATTGGCTGATGGAGCATGAAATAAGAACCAGCTGCTGAACAGAACTTTTTGGAGCTCCACGGCAGAGAAATGCGGTTGCTCTTTCTCCTTCTCACTTTCTTTTTCTGTTTTGGTCCACTCAGCCCCTGAACGCAACTCAGGCTTACGGCCCCAACCTCAGGTACATTGTGAGATGGAGACGAAGGGACCCCCGAGGGAGCTGGTACAACGAGACAGTGAAGACGCCACGGCACGTCGTCTGGAACACACCCATCTACGTACCCTACGAGATCAAAGTGCAGGCAGAGAATGACTTTGGCAGAGCGCCGGAGCCTGACACCGTCATCGGCTATTCCGGGGAAGACTGTGAGTATTTTCTCAGACGGAGCTCGTAAGTGTTTCAGAAGGGCAGGATCCCAGCCAAGGTCAGTGGGCTGGCACCTGGGCCCGGGGTGTGTTCACAGCACTGCTGATTTGGCACAAAAATCCAGTTCCAGGCCTTGGAAGAAAGAGGTTTGGCCATTACATCCTGCCTGTGTGACCCAGGTCACTTAGCCTCTCCCTTGCTCTCTATAAGACCCAGATAACACTTTGAGTATGGAAGACAGTAAGATTTCATTTAAGACGAGCTCTGGCCATATTCCCAGAAAATGCCTAACATTTTTTTGCCCCTGCCGTCTGCGGAGCACCGAGTTCATCTCCGATGAGGGGCGCTACGAATGGCCAAAAGGGGCCTTTGGGTCACCCTGGACTGGATTCTTGTGCCTCTCTGACACGGCCCCAGCTAAGCTCCAGCTTGGGCTCCTGTCTGCAACACACCATTGCCTCCGCTTATCTTTCTTTCAAACCCTTCCACCTGGTCGCGCAGGACAGCAGCCAGCTGGTTTAACATTCTTTTCACCTTCTCTCTGGGCTACTGGTATCACCGTCTCTGCCCGTAGCATCCACCACTCTGAACTACGATTATCCTTATCCTGTTAGGATAATGTGGTTTGCTGCCAACTGCTTTTTTTTTTTAAAAAAAAAAAATAATATATATATATTAGTTCCTCACACTGCAGCATCAGTGGGGGTCCCTGGTTGTGTGACTTTGGGATTACGGAGAAGTGAGGTAGCTAAGGCAGCTAACCATCCCTGACTCCAGGCTTGAAGTCAAGGGCACACAAAAAAGGGCACAGCAATTTCAAGAAAATCTGCAATCGTGGCGCTGAGATAGCACGCACGACACATCCTCCGACTGAGCATCTTCTCCCAGGGGAGAGAGGGCAACGGGAGCGAAAATAGGCAGAAACGGTGGGAGTCGGGGGAAGAGCTGAGCGCTGGAAGCAAAGCTGGACCTGGCTGGGAGGCTCTTTCTGGAAAAGCTCCACAACCACCCGACTGCACCATCGTCTCTGCATTACATGTCTTCGCACTACCTGGGTGGGGTTTTTTTCCAGTTTCAGTTGAAAACTTGTGCAATAATTTCGAGTTTTGGGGGGATCTGAAGGAGCCTGCAGGTGTGCGCTTTAGATGGAGGTAAACCAGGGAGCTCACAGCTCCCACATCACACCCCAGGCATATGTGTGTTCCTGCCTGTGTCCCGAGGGCTGGGACAAGTTAAAAAACAAAACAAAACCGAACAAAAACACTAGTGCCTGCCCTGTCACGTCTGAATTGCTTCACAAATAACTGCAGGTTTCTACATCGAAGCAGGTGACCTGTAAGGAGGAGGTAAAAAATCCCAACTGGATCAACAGCAGGTTCTGGCCAAATTCACATTAAGGGATGTGGAAATAACAGGTAGTTTTGTAACTCCTGGGTCTAACAGTGGCCAGCCAGGGGCAGCGGGAGGGGGATGGATCTGCCGGTACCCTGCAGTGAGCCAGACCCCTTCTTTGCTACCGTGATCCTCGCAGCAGTGTGTAGGAAGCCCTGCTATTAACGGGATCACGAATATTCTCGTGACGGCTGGCCGAGTGAGATATGGGGGGGGGGTTCCCCCCTTCCTGTGGAAGCACTGCTAAAAAAACCCCAAAAGGCAGCTTTTAAAGCATGCAGAGGTCAGGGAGAAAGTGAGGGGGACAGAGGTAAGTGATGCTGTTGTGTGCATTCGCGCGGTGGTGGGGGCTGCTCGCCCCCGATGAGGGCGGCCGGGAAGCGGAGGACCAGCCTGTTGCTGCTCTTTCATGTTATCAGATTTGGAAAGCCTCAGAAATTGAATTTAAGGAGAGAGAAAAGGAGATGATTATCCCCAGAAAAATGCTGCCGGGGTGCCTGCAGATGGCAGAGCCGGCGCGTGGGGCCGCTGCTCGCCCCGCAATGGGCAACCCATGGCAAGGGCAAAGCGGGGCAGAGGGGCGTCCGTCTGTCTGTCTGACCTCCAGGGTACCGCCGGGTGCCTAACATACGCTCTCCTTTATCCCTGAACGCTCAGATCCCAAGGCTGCGCCTACGGATGTTAGGATAAGAGTTTTAAACAGCACTGCCATTGCTCTGACCTGGACCCGAGTGCACCTGGACACCATCCAGGGACAGCTCAAGGAGTACAGAGTGAGCAAAACCCAAATCTCCTCGGCACTGACTAGCAATACAGCTAACCCTCTCACAAGGCGAGGCGGCCCCGGCGATGGAGCTGCCCGCGATGGGGATGACAGAAAACTCTCCTCCGGCCATCAGGACCCCTTTGCCATGGCCGGGTGCAGACCACGGGGGCCGAGCGCCAAAAATGATGTGCCTTGATTTGCTCTTTGTGGTGCCTGGATGGGGCTGGGGACATCTCCCGTTGCTCCCCCAGGGCTCGGTGCTGGGCTGGTCCTTCCCGCAGGATCTGGGGTGCTCCGACAAAGCAAGCGGGGCTGCCCTTGAGCACCCAGAGAGGGGCTGGGGGTGGTCCTGCCCAGGCAGGGAGGTGTCTCCTGGCTCTAGAGCTGCCCAGAACCACAGGCTGGCTGGCTCGGGGTGGGGGGAATGACCTCAGATAGGTACAAACAGGTTAGTTTTTGTGTCATCCCCAAAGTACTGACATCGTCTTTTAATGAACACCAACCCCCGCAAAGCCTAAACCCAGCGGTTCCTACTAACCGGCAACTAAAGACAGCACGGATCCTCTTTGTTCATTTACTGCTGCGGTAAAACACCAGTGTTTATGTACAGAGGACAGACCCTGTTGAAAACAAGCAGAAGTCTGGACGGAGCCCCTTCTAGCAGAGTTTAAGACATTCCCAAAAGCGTGTGTCCTGCAAACAGTTACACCATTTCAAACCCAGCAATCCGCTGGGCATAAAGCAAGCTCCCCGCGTACTGCTTTCATTTTCTTCTGCCTCTGCTCTGTCATTCTGGTCTGTTTTCTGAATGAATCTTATTTCCGCGTGAAATAAGATTTGCAGTCGGGGCTTCGAACGGGAGACTTTCCAAGTTCAGCCTTTCCTTTGTGCCTGGACGTGTCCCACCTTTCCTTGTACACCGCCACGGTACTAATCGGGGCAGAACGGGAGAGTCACTGGACGCCCAGTGCGTAGGAGCCAGAATCGGCTCTTCGTAGTCTGAGCTGAGCTGGTTTTGCTCTGGAACCTTTGGTAAGCGCTTTTAACCCCACGCTCAGCCTATTCCTCGGGTAACACCACTGACCTGCCTCGCTGGGGGGACGTGGAGCTTCATTAATTGCTCTAAAAAGGCTTCTGCAGCCCAGAGCTGCTCTTTGGAAAGGCAAAGTTTTTGCTATGCTTTCTTAACGAAAAAAAAAACAAACCAACACACAATTGCACTTAAATGGGAAAAGCTTCACTTGCCATGCATGTTTCTTGAAGGCCTATTTCTGGAGAGACAGTAGTTTGCTGAAGAACCTGTGGGTCTCCAAAAAACGGCAGTATGTGAGTTTTCCTGGAGACCGAAACCGGGGCATAGTGTCCCGGCTGTTTCCTTACAGCAACTACAAGCTTGAGATGGTTGTAACCAACGGGCGAGGAGATGGGCCACGCAGCGAAGTTAAGGAGTTCCCCACGCCAGAAGGAGGTATGTTCCCGTGCTGGGAGAGGTTTGGGTGGTTCAGCTCTAGAGAGCGGTCCGGACCCCGCACCGCTCTGCGGCAGAGCCGCGGCACTGCTGGGGACACGCGCTAGGGACCATTTTTAGCTGAGCATCTTCTGGGCAGCATCAGTGTCACACGGCACTGCCTCCGTCACCGCGGGGTAGGTGACATCTCTGGCAGCTACACCTCGAGCTAACTCCTGGCACCGTCTCATCAATCTAAAAATCCCCTTCAGGTGCTCTGAACGCATCGGCAAGCATCGCTTAGGGTGAACAAGCAAAACGTTTGCACCGCCTCTTCGGAGGCACAGCACCGTGCCCTTGATTTGCTGCCCGAGATGCAAATGTCACCGCACCTCCCCGTGCCGCGGGTCGGTGAAACGGGAGTGCAGTTATTCCTCTTGCTCAGCAAAAGGCAGTAGAGTCTCGGTAAGACCTAAGCGCTTTTGTTCCGAAAGGATGTCACTAATACCCCTGTCAGGCTTTTAAGGCAAAAGCGTTTAAAGAGCTCGTGTCAAGGATGAACTTGAGATTTTAATTTTCTTGCTGTCACAGGAGCTATTTATAGCCACGCCAATAACTTTTTGTTGGAGCTGCACTTTCAGTGACTGGCAGTGAATCTTCCTATAGCACAGATGTTTTGGGCACAGCATGTTACAAAACTGCAAGAGGAGAAAACAGTAGACAGTGGGAAAAAATCCTCTCTCAGCTCATGCAAAATGCTACAGGGTCGTCTTCTTCCTCTTCTTCCCATTCCCATTGTATACAGCAACAGTGTCTCTCAGGCCAGTCTCTTTCTTAATGATTTCTTGGATGCTGTCACCATGTTCTAAGGATTTTCAATGAATTTCAGCCACGATTAAGCTCATTTAAAAAGAAGGGACTCTGTTCCAGGAGGGTGGCTCTGCAGTCAGGTGTGTTTTGATCAAGCTGCTTACCTGTGTGCTAGCGGCACGGAGCATTTGGGGGAGCTAGATGCATTTGGGAAGACAGATGCATTTTGGGGAGATATACACGTTTAGGGGAGCTATATGCATATGTGGATGGCATTGATTGAAACGGTTATAGCAGCTTATACTCTTGTCATAAGTAAACTGCTGATTTGTCTTTTCCTATATCACTAAGCAATTTTATTGACTCTATATTGCTGTTTAGGACATTGAATGATAATCTGCAAAAGTTAAAAAAACCTCCTGTTTAAAAAATAAATCATAATCTCTCAGATCAGAGAGCCAAGCTCTTCCCCCAGTCGAGATACCGCAATTATGAGTAAACCAGGAGAACCATTCAGTTCACGAATGTATAATGCTTTCCTTCCTTTGCTAGCTTTGAATAAGCAGTCATAAAAGCAGCTGTTCCTCAGGGTAAGGACCGCCGTATGCATGCACTGGCTCCCTGTTACAGGTCTCTAAACATTAATAACACAAAGATGCTTTGCAATAAGAGAAGCTGCTATATTATTTTTTCACTGTTCCAACAGATAAATACATGAGATGCAGAAGTTAGGCTGGGTGGGAGCTGTAAACAAGATCAGTAAAGTATAAATATATATATATGTAAACCCACATATAAATATATATATATTTATATACATATATACACACACAAATATATATAAAATACAGATAAAAACCATACAGAAGTGGGACTTGAACTGTGTCACAGCTCCGCTTCACGGCTGGAGCATCTTTTGCGGGTGCCTGAGCGAGGTACGCGCGGGAGGGCAGCGGTACCAGCGAGCGCGGTGCGGCACGGCGCTGCCGGCGCTGGGCTTGCATGCAGAGCTGCTCTGGTTTCTGCTCCCTGCACACACCCTGCTGAAAACCTTGGGCTGGCGCATGGTTTCTGGCACAGATTCTTGTTCAGTCGGTTTCTGACTTTTAGCGTGTGCGTTACCTGTGTGTGTGTATTTATGAGTGTCTGGCGTGGCGCAGTCAGCCTGCGATGTATACGGTATTGTAAGGTATGTTATCTTGTATGTTTTTTTCTTCTTTCCCTCTCCTTCCCGGTCCCATCCTCCCCCCAAGTGCCCAGCTCCCCCAGGTATTTAAGAATCCGACAGCCTAATCTGGAAAGCATCAATCTGGAGTGGGATCACCCAGAGCATCCCAACGGAGTCCTCACAGGATACAACCTTAGATATCAAGCCTGTACGTTCCACACGGTATCTTCTTAGCGATAACCGTTAAGTCATTAACCATTTTTTCCGCACTGCTAATTGCCTGCTCACCCAGCACGGAAAGCTCTCCCTACCGCCTTCCAGCACGGAGGCGCTGGTGTTGGCGCGGAGCCCTGGCGCGGTGCTGGGCGGCTGCGGTTCACCAGGGAGGGTGGCGGGTGCTCAGCCCTTCTCCAGACTCGACCGCTGAAGGGAAATAAGTTTGATATCTGATTTGGAAAGACCTTTAAGCGCAGTCTGAGTAGTTTATGTCCTCACTCAAACACAAGCTCCTCCTGGCTACGTGAGAAAGGCTGCCCGGAGCGCTCCGCAGAGCCCAGCGCTACGTCTGGGGCGGCACAGCCTCCTCGCAGAGCCTGGCACTTGTGCCATGCCCTTCCTCCGCCACCTACGCCACCCCGAACGGCCCCGCTAGCAGGTCCCCCAGCCCGTAAGTCACCGGCTGCCCCAGACAAAGTGTCTTTAAGAGCTCTGAGCACATGTGCCCCCACACCGACTGCCTGGGGGCGCGGGGACGAGGTAGATGGCACAGTGTATTTCCGAAACAAGGCTGCAGCCATCACCACCTGCCTTTCCTCCCCAGTTAACGGATCCAAAACGGGCCGAACCCTGGTAGAGAACTTCTCCCCCAATCAGACAAGGTTCACCCTGCAGAGGACAGACCCCATCTCGCGCTATCGCTTCTTCCTGCGCGCACGGACCCAGGTGGGAGAAGGAGAAACCATAGTGGAGGAGTCGCCAGCCTTGCTGAACGAAGGTATGTGCAGCAGCAACAGCTTCTGGCTTTGCTGCGGGGTTAAGGGGGTGACGGTACACGTGTCAGCCAAAAACTGCAGGTGGTCCACAGAACAACCAGTAACCGGTGCACAGTAGGGACAGATAGAGGACGAGGACCAAATACTGCAGCAGAAATGCTGGTGACGGGGGGACTGTCCTGCGCTCTGGGTGACCACCTTGCCGTCCCCCCAAAGCAATTGCCATTCATCACATGCCCCGGAGCAGGAGGGCATCTTACTCTCCTCTTGCAAAAGGTGAAGCTCTAATCTGCCCCTCTGCAGTCCCCGTTTGAGTTAAATAAGGGGCAGATGCGGGTGATTTTTACGCGGCGCGAAGGGCTGCGGCAGCTGCATCCTCCGGGCAGTGATCCCCAGGCAGGGGCTGCGGTGCCACTTCCCTGTCACCCCACAACCAGCAGCTGACCTGACCCTCCAAAGTGAAGCCCCAACTCCCAGATTCATAATAAGATAAAGTGCCCATTGTGGGACATTCATCAAACTAAGTGAAAGTTCAGGAGCCCTGAGGGAACTCGGGGAGACAAAAGCTGGCTCTTTCCTTTCTTTAGCATTTGCTAAAAGACCTATGATTTGGTTAGCGCTCTGATTTAATGGGGGTTTTGTCTCCTTTCCTCCATCCCCCCTCCCCAACTAATGGCTCTGAGTAGGAAAAGTAATTTCTACTGATGACCCAGTGGAAATGAAATGCTTCCTGACACCTCTTAGGTGGGCTCCAGCATCGCTAATTGCCATGACAGGATGGGAGATGGGGCTGCATATGCCATGGGAAAAAAAAATCATCTAAGTTACACCCTGGCAAACCTGAGAGGGGGCACGACATTGCTTTACAAAGGAGCTGAACAAACTGCTAGAGCACAGGGATGGGATTGAAGTTGTCGGTGCTGACAGTCAATAATTCTACTTGTTTCATATACGTTTGCTTTGCTGGGTTTGTTTCTATATGCTGCTAACAGCGACTGTCAGGAGAGCACAGCTAAATAATAGCCATAACCAACTGCTGCTGTGTATGGCTGAACTGCTCCGTATCAAGAAATAGCAGGTACAGCGGGCGCCAGCGGGGCAAGGTGGGGGTCCCTGGCCACAGGGTCGGGGCTACGGACCGGTGGTGGCACCCAGGGACCAGCTGCTGCCACCTAGCAAAAGGACAAAGCATTGCCCATTAAGCAGCAAGAAAAATTGAAGAGTCAAATGCCAGTCTGAAGTAAGAGAAATACGGCAAAGTTTGACCTCAAAACATGAGACCCTGAGGTACAACAGGCCACAGGCGAGTTCTGCTCGTGACAGGCACGTAGGTACGATTAGCAGCTCTAAATGCCACTGCGGTATGAAGGTACCTGCTGTAAAGCTGCGCAAAAGATGCCTTTGAAATTGGGAAAAAAAAAAAAAAAAAAAAGCCGATTAAGAAAATTAAACCCATTAATGCATTCACAGGTTGTTTTCTGCTTGCCTGACTCATTCACCTGAGAAGTTTAAGTAAAATGCATCTCTGATGTTGTGCACCACGGGCTCCAACCCGCACACGGCAGGACGAGCGCTGATGTTAGAATTACATTAGAAAAAACTAAGGCGAAATTCAGAGTGTCAAAACCGCTCCTTGCTGGGATTGGATATAAGCACCCGCTTAAGCACTTTGCTTAATCGACAGCACTGGCATCTCTGCTGCGGAGCTGGTGCGTTTCCCCCGAAATCTCCCTCTCGGAGGGGCCGTCGCTGCGCTCTCTGCCTGGGCAAGGGGCTGGGGGTGCCGGGTTGCTGCTAACGCATTTATTCCCTCTCTCTCAAGTCTCTGGTGACTGTGTGCAAGTGGTCCCGAGTCTCTTGTTGGTGTGTTCTGGTTGTTTTATATATTCCTCTGTTTTCTCTTCCCTTCTCTTCTATGCTCTCTTCGTATTCCCCTCTCTATCCTTGGCGCTGCCCTCTGAAGCCACGCCAACCCCAGGTACCGTACCAGCCGGAGGAGGTAACGGGCATGGGGCAAGGCTCCCTCCACGCTTGCTCGGGTGTGCTGGCAATTAAGCATGTACTCTATTAACCCTTTCAATGGGAAGGTGAAGTGTCAGGGGTCTAAATTGGCCATACGAACTGACAGCAGGTAAAAAGGAGCCCCACAGGCAGCGGGGATTAGGGCAGGCTCCACCGGAGGGGGGTCTGCAAAGATTAAAATATCTCCGAGTGAGGTTTAACAACCTCCCAGACGCCCAATGAGAGCCAAACCCACCGAACACCGCAGCTGCCACAGACGGTACAAGCAAAAATGAGAGTCAAGTGTCCCTATTAGAGAGGTTTTTAATCCCAGGTCTGCACAAAGCCCTCTCCCTTTTTAAGCCTCAACATCCCCTCCCTGCGAGATACGGCAGAACATTCACCAGCCTTTCCCGGCTCGGTGGTGCCTGCCTGTGCTCTGCCATGCAGTATTTAAGTTGTATTTTCCCTCCCGGGAGGGTGCAGCATCGCTGCCGGAGCAGCTGCCTCGCTTGGCCGAGCGGGTCGGGGTTGCAGCGTACAGGCACCGCACTCCGCACACCTCCCCGCGGTCTTCGGGGGCCGCGGGGGCTTTGGTACAGGAGGAACCTTTCCTTTCCAGGCGCCCATTGAAAGGGTTAAGGACAATGTTTGCGCCACCGCTGTGCATGTCTGCATGTCAGGCTGTTGCTGGCTTTGCCCTCGATTGCGAATCTCTACAGCAGTGTTGAAGCAGAGAGAAAACTTTTTAACGGGGCGGTGGGGGGTGTGCAGCATCTCTACCTGCTTTCCAAGAAACTCAGACCCGCAGTTACCCAGTGTCAACCCTGCAAAGTCCAAAGCATAAGCACAACTTCTGGTTGCCCAAAGAAGGACACCCGCCTCTTACGAAAGCTGCAGACGGGACTTTTCCCTCCTCTCCCTCCCCAACCCCCACCCCCCCCGGCCCTCTTTGAGCCAATATTTCAGCCGTGGGGGTCAACCCCGTGACGGAGCTCAGAAGGGGGGTAGCGGCAGGGCCAGGGAGCGCAGCCAGCCAAAACGCACCCCGAATGCTGCGGAAAAGCTTTCGGTCTGGAGCGAGAGCGCTCATTTGCCCTTTGCCAAGGGCTCTGTAAGAGGTCGTGCTTTGCCTTTGCCGGACACGGCCCCGGCGCTGCTGGTGCTCCCCAGGGAGGAACAGCTTCTTAGGGAAGACTCTTCCCAAGTGATACAGGGGCAGGACCTGCTCGCTGCACCTGTAGGTTTTGCTTTCCTACCTCCTAGATGTTTCTCCTCCTTTTCTTTTGTTGCAGTGATGTCTCTCTACCCAATATTATTTTGCCGTTTTTTTGGTTTTTTCCTTTCTGAATAGATGCCAATCTTTTTCTTACTATATTTTCTCTTCCTGGGGGGAAAAAAAAAAAAAAAGGGGGTAACAGATTGGTCTGCTTTGGGTGGTGGGAAACTGAAAACGGACATAACCATTTGGCTTAGAGGAGCTCTATCCTCTGAGTCCGGGAGGGCTGTTTCGCTGCTATAGTTCGTAGTTCAGCCAGGGTTTAGCTTAGCCACAAAATTCTGGATTTTTCTTTGTGGTTCGGTACTTTTCTACTTTCAGTGGATACGGCTGAACTTCGAAAACACAATGCCATCTCTTTATCCTTCCAGCATCATACCAATTTAGGCGTTATTTCTTATACCACTGGAAGGCAGATGAATGAATTGCCATTTAAAGGATGATTCTACAAGAACAGAACCCGCTGGTCCCCCACCCCTCTATTTCTGACCTTCTGGTAGGAGAAACAGCACAGAGACGAGAGATGCCAGAGCTGAAAGACATCTTAAGAGTCAGCAACTGGAGTAATAGGTCATTAAGTGCTAACTCAGCCCCATCCGCAGCTTCCTCACCGTGCCAGGCTTCGGCAAGGTTCATCAAGGCGATATAAGCCATAGCAAGATCCAGCACACATCTTTGTCTTGCTCTTGAGCTGGATGTCATTTCTCGTTAGGACACGGGGCGGGTGCGGGAGCTGTTACACAATTCGAGCCGCGTTCGTCCCGAGAGGCTGTTTCTCTTCCTAACAAGTACTGGGTTCGAGTGAAATACTGCTTGACCTTTCTCGGAAGATTTATCTCCGCTCAGTGACCTAGATTTTTGTAGATTTTATGGATTCACAGTGAAAGTTGTCTTAAATTGCAGTAAAATGCTCTTTGCCATGGGCTGCTGGCACTCAAAACCAAAAAGTCTTTTTTTTTCCAGGGGTAACCTTACATATACAGGGTTGTAGCTGTTTTGTGTGTGTATGAGAAACTAGACCAGCTTGATGAAATCAAAGTGAAGTGCAAGGACTTTCCCTTAGGAAAGGCTTTACTTTTCCTAAGCCAGACCTGGACAAAGGGAGAGGGGACGTGGGAAAAGAGGGGATGTCTAAAAAGCGCTCTCATTTATGCTATGAATGAGAAAAAATCAAAGCTGGATTCTATACTACCCCTGTGTATGGAAAAACTTCATCAGGGACCATAAAGGGTATTGGTCTTAGACTTTAAGGAAAAAAACGTTGACTTTTCTTTGTTCCCTTCTTGTCTCTCCATAATTATGAATCAGAGGAGAAAGATCCTATTGTTCATTTTAGAAATGGACGGCAGTAGAAACAGAGAGAACTGCTGAGCCCTCTCTGTTAGAGGCTACTCAATCGCTCCTTTCTATTCTTGAATTTCTTATAGAGATCAGATTTGGAACACTTTATCTTTATGGTAAAGACTTTGCACTTTCCTCCTGTTGCTAAAAACTGTGAGAGGGCAAGAAAAAAAAAAAAATCTCTGAAAATGTATTTGGCTAATCATCAAAATTCATGAAAAATTAATCAAATTTCTCCAAGCCTAATTATTTTGTAGACACACCCAAGGGAAAGCTGTTACTACAGCCTAACAACACATTAAAAGCACCTTTAAATAATTAAAGAGCAATATGGATGGGTATTGTTTCCTGTATTTTGCAAAAAACCCCATGAAACTACTCGTTGAAGCGCTACACTACTTGGACCATAACTCGAGTCCCTCTTTAAATATCCCCCTCTTACTTTTATGATTCTTCCTCTCAGTTTTGGGTTGTTCCTTTTCCCCAGTCTGAGTCTCTCACAGTTTTTGTGTAAGGTTTGGGCTCCTTCTCACCGGGCCATTCACAGTCCTGGGAGCCAGGCTGCAGCCAAGAGCGCAGCCGTCCTGCTGCAAGCATCTCTCTCGTTACTCAGCCTATTAATTGCTACAGCCGGAGCACCGCATCCCCTGACCATTAGAACCGCGTATCTCCTCCCCACCGTGCCCCTCGCTCTCCATTACCTGAAAGGGTAATGCATCTTGCAGACGGAAAAAGCAATCTCTGCCTCGCAAAGATGGGGCCTATTAACGACCTGAACGGTCGTTTAAGCCGTTTCCAGGAAGATGGGCTCAGGCTACGGTGGGAGCAGGGGAGCGGGAATGGCTGTTGCTGGCTTTTACTCTGGGTTTGCTGGGTGTACTGGGGCAATTTCAAGCCTGCTGGCACCACTGGTTTGCAGGGTGCTGCTCTGCCCTGCAGGCGGGAAGGTGGCAGCCCCTTCTCCGCACCTCCTTCGGCTTTCGGAGAGGGGGAGAATTTTTTCCCCATCACACAAACGCCAGATGCTTCGGCTCCTGCCTAAACTTGAGGCAACTCTTGTCAAAGCCCTCGAGTGAACCGCACCTTGAGAATGCAGAAAGATAGATTCAGCTGCTCTGCAAAGCTCGTTATACCCGACAAATTAGTGCAACCGCATTTTTAGAAGGATGTGTGTAATTTCTAAATTTTCAAAATGCGCGGTTCTGGAAATGCCAGCCTGGCCCCTCCATCTCCCCCGTGCCCCCCCCCCCAACCTTTTCCTGCCAGGAGCAGTGATCTGTCACCCCTTAATTAGCCCTGACAGACCGCCTTTCCCCCCCCCACCCCCCCCCCCAGACTGAACCAGCTCTCATTAGGAAATGGATTTCAAAGCCTAGAAAGTGCCCCTTATCTTCTCTCCCCCAAATCTCCCAGCTGAGCTTTTCTCCCCCCTACGTTTCGTATTCAAACACAAATGAGGCTGTAGCTTTGAACCCCGGGGCAGCTTAGGGCTAAATCCCCCCATGGCTGCGGGAGCGCTGGCCGCCGCAGTGCCGCCTTCCCACCGCCCGGGCCCATCCTGCAACAGTGCCGCCCCTAGACTCTTTCTCCATTCTCC